TGTCGCCATTTTGGTTGCTCTATGTTGTGTTTTCAGTTTGCTGTGCACATTCAAAATGTTTAAGACAATTAGTTCTCCCGCTTACTGTGAGATTCATGCCGTGATTAAATTTTTGAACGCGAGGAATGTTAAACCGGCCGAAATTTATCGTCTAGTGACAGAAGTTTACATTGAATACGCGATAAGTGATGGAATGGTGAGAAAGTGGGTAAGAATGTTTAATGCAGGTCGAACAAATGTCCACGCCGAGGCTCGGAGTGGTTGGCCTTCTGTTGTCACCGATGATTTGGTAAGGAAAGTTGATGAAGCAATTCATGAGAACAGACGCTTCACAATGACAACTCTTTCAGAGGCATGAAATGTTCCTTTACATGAAGTGCGAACTCGGTGGCAAGCGCTTTGGATCTGCCGATGACACGAAAAATGCTGTGGAGTCATGGTTATCGAAACTGACGGGAAGTTTCTTTGACGATGGTATACAAAAACTGGTCACCCGCTATGACAAGTGTTTGATCATTGACGGAAACTATGTTGAAAAATAGTTTAAGACATGTATTTTCATGTAAAATTAAAATTGGATTCGAAAAAATTGTTTTACTATTTTATTTTTTTCAAAATAGTACTTAGTTTCCAAATACGCCTCGTAATTTTTTTTATTATGTAATGAATATATTTTTTCTTTTGCAAGTCCTTTCCAAAATATTTTGAATGTAAGATATATTGGAAGGGGAACAGAGATTTTGTTATATAGAAACACATATGTAAATCTTATAATAATTTATTTGTAGAAAGATGAAATAAACTAGTAATCACACCTGCTAGAAAAGATGTGTTTACAGTTCAGTATTATTTAACTGTCTACAGCAAGGATGGCAAACTCGCGGCCCGCAACAAATATTTTTGCGGCCCGGCCAATATATCGGCAAATAATAAATATATAATAATAAAATAACATATCGACGAAGAAAAAAATGAAATGTTTACTGCTAAGTAATTAACGATAATTTATTCAGTGTTGTTAGATTACTCACAGCGAGCTGACACACACACTACTTAAATTACAAATGCGTTTGAGTAGCTTGCGTTCAGCTACCTTCGGCTTTTGAAGGACACGTGCACTCAGAACTTGTACACATCCCCCCGATAGCCGAATGTGGCCAAACTCATGGTTTCAGTTTTCCAATCATAGTTTTGTACGATATATTGGTGCATGCATGTGCATGCACTTTGCTTTATTATTAATTATTACTTAATTCATATTGTTACAGATTTCATAGTTATTTATTTAGTTTTTTTTTATTTAGAATTGTAATTAGATTTGCTTCATGTTGCCTTAGCAACGCAGACGATTTTTGAAAAGACAGCTGCGTTGGAAGGTTAAAAATAGAACAGCGCGTGCATTTAATACCTAATAAATAAATATCTCGTAATAGCTGTTGCCATCCACAAAAATCCAGATATTTATAGATGTTTCCAGTATATTCGAGAAATTAATTATAAAGCTTATAAAAGCCAAGAACAAACAACTCATCTCAGTAGTAGCTGTAGTTCTAGCGAACTGTTTGTTTACTTAATGCTGTGATTGATTTGTAGCGATTTCGCTGTGAGATAGAATTAGTTTCTCTGTTTTGAATTGATTTTTGCTACATGTTTGACATTTTGTGATATTGTTAGAATATTTTTGAAGAAATATTTCAGCATTTTAATTTATCTCTTGTGGAAAGAATAAATTTTTGTTAACTTTTTAACGTTAACCGTGTTTATTCCAGTCCTTTGTATTCAGTATGTCTATATCAAAACCAAGTGGTAGTAAATTAAACGAAAAATCGATGACGAACATAGAATATTCCAAGTAAAATGGGAATTAGAATATTTTTGCTGTGAAATAAAAGGTAAAATAATCTGCTTGATATGTAATAATACTATTAATGTACCAAAGTTATATAATATTAAACGTCATTACGAACAACACAAATCGAAATATAACAATTACGAAGGATTAATGAGAGAAGAAAATTTGAAAGAGCTCAAGTTAGGAGTGAGAAAGCAACAGTCCATGTTTAGTAAAGTATTGCAAGAAAGTGAAGCGGCGGTACATGCAAGCTACGTCTTGTCCAAGTTGATAGCTAAACATTCGAAGCCATTTACTGACTTTGATTTCATCAAGGAATGCCTAATGAAAGCTGGAGAAATTGTTTGTCCTGGAAATGTGAAGGCTTTTCAATCAATTTCATTGTCTCGAAATAACAGTTGCGGAAAGAGTTACTGATTTAGCCGCGAATTTAAGTGATCAGATCAAAGCAAAATCATCTAGTTTCGAAAGTTTCTCCATTGCCTGTGACGAGAGCACGGACATTAGTGGCAAAGCTCAATTAGCAGTGTTTCTTCGTTCTTGTGACAAGAATTTTAACATTTTTGAGGAATTACTGGAACTAATACCGATGCCTGGTACTACCACAGGAGAAGATATATTTACTTGTGTTTTTGGACTTCTGCAGAAATACAATCTACCTTTGGCAAAATTAAATTCTGTAGCTACAGATGGCGCTCCATCAATGACCGGGAAAAACAAGGGCTTCGTAGCATTACTAATTAAAAAACTTAGTGAAATTCACGGTTCAAACATTCATCATATGCATTGTATTATACATCAAGAAGTTCTATGCATGAAAGTAATAAATAGGGAGAATGTTTTGTCATATATAAAAAAAGTTATAAATTTTATAAGATCTCAAGGTTTAAATCAGCGTCAATTCACTGCTTTCTTAAGTGAGTTAGATAGTGAATATTTGGGTTTGTCCTTCTATACCGAGGTACGTTGGTTATCTTGCTCCAAGATTCTTAGACAATTCTGGGATTTGAAAGAAGAAATATGTCAGTTTTTAAAAACGAAAAATCAAGACGTAAGTTAGTTTTACAATCCAATATGGATACAAGATTATCTATCTTTATCTTTCTTGGTTGATATAACCAAACACTTAACCGATTTAAATTTATCGTTACAAGGAAAATATCATGTCATTACGAACATGTTTGACATAATTAAAGCATTCAAATGTCAACTAGTTCTTTGGGAAAAACAACTTAAAAATGAAGATTTGACGCACTTCCCGACGTGCAGCATGAACAAATCAAGTTTAGATGATACTTGTTCATATCAAAAATACGCAGACAAAATTGCAAATTTAACAACTGAATTTGAAACGAGGTTTAATGATTTTAGTTATCTCGAAGAAAATTTTTTTTTTTTTTTTTTTTTTTTTTTTGTTTTGTTTTGTTTTCTTCGATTTTCTCAATAAGTATTGACTCAGTACCCAGCCATATGCAAATGGAGGTGATCGAGATTCAATGCAACTCAAATTTGAAAGCAAAATTCATTGAAGTGGGCGTGCCTGAATTTTACAAATATTTACCAGCCAGGTTTGAAAATACTCGAAAATTCGTGCGAGCAGTTATTTTCAGTCATGAAAGGTAATAAGTCTCCTGTTAGAAACCGTATTAATGATGCTCACCTTGGGTCAGCGTTGAAAGTTATCACTGCAAACAAAATTTCTCCCGAAATAGGAAAGATAATAGCAGAGAAGAGATGTCAAGTATCAGGACGTAAACATTAAATTTTTCTTGTTCTTTTCTATATAAATATATATATATATATGTTTTATTATTGTATTATATGAAATAAATCTATGTTTCTATGAATATTGATTTTTTTTTTTTTTTTTTTTTTTTTTTTTGCGGCCCGCCTAAAATTAAACCTTGTTTGTTTGGCCCAAGTGTACCTATGAGTTAGTCATCCCTGGTCTACAGGGAAGAGAAATGTGCCAGTATGAAACAAATACATACCATGTGACTGGTGTAGATATGTTTTTAGGTGTTTACAGTAATTTTAAAATTCCTCTTCATCTGTAAAATGTTTTGCTTTTTTGGCTTTCTGGTATGCCAGTCTAACGTTGTTTTTCTTCTAATTGTTTGCTTGTTTTTATTTGTATCAGTATAGATATTAAATTCTACAAAACTTTGCTCTTTGGGTAAGCAATTTTTATTATAATGTTATAAAATAAATGGTTTAAAAGCTCCAAAACTGTTTATAGAGAATTTGTCCCATAGATGTAATTAAGAATATTTGGAATTCACTATAAAGTTTTGAAAAAATAAACTATTAAGAAAAATGCACTAAAAAAGTAGAATAAATATATAAAATTTAAAGAGGAATTTTTAAACCTATTTTATAAAGAAGAGTTGCTACCCAGTTAGTATAATGGAAGTAAGTACAGTAGAAATCAAGAAATCCGCAATGCTTGGGACCAGAGGTTGTGCGGATTTTAGGATTTTTCAGATTTCAGGACACAAAAGATAAATCATAATATTCAGACTAAAAGTGCAAAAGAAATAAGGCCTATTAGATACACTTCATTATATACATTATTACGTTAATATACATATACATTATTACATTAATTTATTATATGTGTTAAATTATTATATATATTATTCATTTATATTAGTGATTACAGGGATATTTAAACCATTAAGGACATATACAATAAAACATATAAAATAAGGGTTATTGATAAAGCATAAAATATTTAATTTTTTTTACATGTTTCAAACATTTTTCTGGTAAAGGTTTGTTTTAAAACTTCAGGGTGCTTCAAAATAAGTTAATAATTTGGTATTTCCATTATGAGTCATTATTATTCGGTAAGTATTTTCTTCGATATTTCATTCTCTATGTGGCAGTTTCCAGAACCTATAAATTGAATGTTTATATTTTGAGAGGCAATGCGGATTTCAGGTCGGTGGATTTTCGGTATTTATTCAGTATTTTCGGTGGTATTGTACTGCAATAATGCGAATAAATTTGAATCATTCAAACCAGGTAAAGCTGAATGTTTGTTATTGTATCTACTTTGAGAATGCAAAATATGATTTATCATATCTATATGTATAAAAAATATGATAGTTTGAAATTTCTCTTATGTGTCTGTGATTTCTTTCAGAGCATGGTTCATCATACTTTGGGAAACAGTAGGCTGGCTGAAAAACTTCTCAGAGATGCTGTAACTATTGATCCTATGTCTCACCAATCATGGTATGTTATTTTTTCTCATATAATTTTTTTTACTTATAGCTGTTCACACTTAAGCAGGATTCCACTGTAACTGCTGAGGGAAATAAACCATACTATTGAATTAAATTTAAATATTTGAAATTTAACTGATTATTTGTTTATAATTTTCTGTTATAAGTTAGTCAGTTGACAATTTATAGTAATAATGAAAGAATTGGAAATTTGGATATAATGTTCTTGATTGTGTAGAGTTTCTGCTAAAATAAATACAATGTAAAAATTGTATTGTTGGATGCATGGCAGTTTACAATTACTATACTTCATTCAAGCTAAAATTCAAAGCATAGGAAATTTGGAAACCAAAAACTGTTTTGAAACTGATCTTATGTTCTGTTTTATTTTGCTTTTTGTTTATGTGAACAGCAGAGCATGGAATGTAAATTTTTAGTATTGTAATTGCTAAAACTAACATGCCCAAACTTATTTTCTGAAGATGCTTCAAAGAACTTTAGTTTGGAAAAATGTTTAAAAAAAACGATCGGTATTTAAAGAGTATTTCTAGGGAAATAAACATTTTGTATTGCATTTAATATGAAAAAATTATTATAGTTTATTTGGTACTTACTCATAGCCACCTTGACAAGAAGGGAAAGAAATTAACACATTTCCACCTTGGTGAGAAATAAACAGTTGCTCTATAAGAAAACAGTGCATTTGACATCTACACTACATAGTTTATTGAATATACCTATAGAAGTAATACAAATTTGTATTTATTATTTTTCTTAATATGATTTTCCAGCAATTTATTTAAAATAAGCAACATACATAAGCATACCCTAAAATTCATTTTAAATAGGTGTTTTCTAGGGCTCTCTGTTCAAAAGTTGCTACTAATAATGCATCAAATGCATTATCATAGCCAACATGATGCATGAACTTGAGCTCTATTAAATAAAATTCCTGGTAATGGGTAGCCATATCCTGTGCTTTTCATTCTATTATTTTACTCATTTAAGTGTTCTACTTTTTGTTTCCCATAAATGAGCACCAACTGCATTTATCCACAAAGTTGTTCGTTTGACCCACCATCTAGTGACATTCTTCTCTTTTATAATCATTCCAGCACTCTGTGTGGATCGATGATCCCTAATTCATATGCTTTTGGATGTTTCTCATGAGGGTTCTCGCATTTCTTTTGGATACATGAATCAAGAAGCATTCATTTTGTTGCGACGAATGCTGTCTAAAATTCACTATTGTGGCAATACTGTCCCTACAGTATTTTTCCATTTTATGAAGTGAGATTCAGTAATCTCGCAAAATTTTATCAATTTCTTCTATTTTATTCACTGAATGTTTTATCAGGAATTTCGAATAGACTTTCCTCATACAGTTATTCCAGTCAATAACAGCTTTTTCTTCCATGTCTAATTGCTTGTCGCACCATTGGGTTGAAGTGAGTTCCTTATTCTGACAATCGATGAAACTGCTTTGCAATGAGAAAGGAAATTTTTATTCCCTAAACCGGCAGTTCCCAACATGTAATAGAGGTATGAAAAAAATGTATTAATAATTGTGGAAAATAGAAAATTGTTATGATAAATGCTATCTAAAAAGCAAAATATTGAAGAAATTCAAAAATTTAAAGGGAAAATATTTGTGAGGATTTTTGATAGGACAAATACACTGGTTATCATAAATTAAAGAAAAATCACAAAAATAGTGATCCCTCAAAAATAAGCCAAACTGTGTAAAATTTGAATATGTTGCCAAGCAAGAGTAGCTGAGTAAAACTGCAATATGCAAATTAGAGGCGCAGCACTCGGAATACGTCATCTGCGAGGAGAATAAAAGTCCATGTTTGAGAGCAAGCCCACATATTTTACTGTGATAGTGACATCAGAAATGTAAGATTTGTAACAATGACCTCCAGGCATCATTTGCCTGCAGAACTATGATGGAAAGCCATTGGGAGACTAGAGGCAGGATAAAGTCAAACAGAAGTGGCCAGATAGCTAAATGTGAGTCCTTCTGTGACGTCCTTCGTAGACTTTGAAGGCTATTTCAAACCACAGATTCGGCATCTAGGAGGTTAAGCCAAGGACGGCCAACTGCTGCGACGAGCGCCAATAACCGATATTTGACATTATGTGCACACAGGAATAGAACTGCTACTCCGACTCTTCTTAGATCCTCCCTTGCTGCAGCCACCAGAAAATTCGTGTCAATGTCAACTGTGGGTAGAAAGCTTCACGAAGGTGGTCTGTATGCGAGGCGAATAGCCATTTGTGTGCCGCTCATGTCACGCCATAGGAGGGACCGTTTACAGTGGGCACGACAACATGTCCTCTGGACGCCTGATCAATGGAGGGCGGTTCTCTTTATGAATGAGTCCAGGTTTAGTCTAGAAAGTGATAGTAGGCATTATTTGATATGGAGAGAACCTAGAACCTCATCCGTCAAACATCCATGAAAGAGATGCATACGGAAGGGGCAGTGTCTGAGTTTGGGGTGGCATCTCTTTGGGTGGACACTCAGACCTCCATGTCTTTCCAACGGAAACCATGTATGCTCCGGTTTATAGAGATGACATCCTTGATGCTTATGTGCGCCCATGTGCCGAGGCAATAGGTGATGCTTTCCTGTTACAGGACGATAACGCAAGACCACACAGGGCGCGAACGGGCTGGCTGCATGGGCGTTTTCGTGGTTTTCCCCATGTGTAACATGTATACTAGCTAGTTTCCCTTAGAAAGTCCTCCACGAAGGCATCCCTTCCCTTAGGCAGATAGCCCTTGTGTGCTTTGCCATAATTAAATAAACCAAACCAAACCAGACCACACAGGTCTCGCATTGTAGATGATTATCTTCAACAGGAAACAATTATGCGCATGGAGTGGCCAGCTTGATCCCCGGACTTGAATCCTATTGAGCACATTTGGGATGCTCTAGAGAGACGTCTAGCTGCTCTCAATCCACCCCCTCAGACCCTTGCCATGCTTGCAACTGCTTTGCAAGAGAAATGGCTCTCGCTTCCTATGGAACTGATATACCGCATGCATCGCTGTATGTGCTGTATTGCTTCTAGAGGCGATCATATTCCATATTGAAGGTACTTTTCCTGTCGCAAACTGACACCTTTGCTTTGTTCATTTTATACATGTGCTAATTTCTATACTACCATAATTGTCTGGTAATTTATTTTTATGTTATTTGATACCTTACCATATGTTGTATATTGTGGGTAAGTTTGATAAAATTCTACATGTAACTTTTTCAGTAATCATGATTTTTGTGATTTTTCCTTAATTTATGATAATCAGTGTATTTAAATAATGTAATTTGTTGTAACTAACCCTGCCTTTGCCAATTACATTGCTTGATTCTTTATGCATCATGTGTAAGCCACTGCCTTCCCTACTCTATCACTGCATATCTCTGTACTGAGATTTTCATCAAATGAGTTAACATAATTCTCTTTCTTCACATTTATAACAGTCAAACAAATTTTAGTGTAGAATTTGCTTTTAGTTTTCATTCTTTTTAGAGTTTTTAAAAGTGAAATATTTGTATATAAAAATAGATAAATGGTTAAAATTAGATCTTTAGACAGAACTGAAACTACCATAGATAATAGGTCTGGAGTCAGTGCCAGGCATTTCCAAGGAATCAGTGGATCTACCATTTGAAAGCTAGGATGAAGTTGTTTGATAAGACATAAGCTGACCTGTATAAAAAAAATTCTAAATAGTGGGCCTTTGTAGGATGAAAAAATATTGTGATGAATATTTAAAGTATGGGTCTTAATTCACTGAAGGTGACGAAAACTTTAGTCACCTTCTAAATTTTTTACTATTAGTAAATAATACTTTCAAATTTCAGGCAACTTCCTCTGACATACTTGTGAAACTAATTCTAGCAGTGATATGATGAAATTTAGTCATGAAATTTATAAATTCATCACGAAATTTAGTGCAGATATTTTTTACTTATGTATGCTGCTGAATAAATATAAAATACATGAATTTATTTTAAAAATATCAGTGGAGAAAACAACTCCACTGAGATTATATATATATATGTAAAGTCATATGTAATTGGCAAATTTTTGTGTTTTCAAGTGGTACTAAAATGAATTTACCCTCAGCGCAGCCAACGTGCACTATCTGGGTATCCTGGAATTTTCTTGAAACACACCTGAAAAAGTTGGGGAATTTCATTCTCCTGTTTTGAGTGGCAACCCTGGTTCAGTGTTCTTGGAGGCCATTTTTCTAAGGCTGATTTTAACAAACTGAAAATGCAAACTTCCATAGAAGAAGCATCAGAGGATTTTGTATATATTTTATTAAAAGGGATTTCATTTTGTTCCTTTTTTGATTTTATCTTTGCTAAATAAGCACAGTTGATTTAGAGATTTGACTACTGGCTTTTTCATATGAAGTTCAACTCTACTGATGGCCTTTCCATAAAAATTGGTTCTAAAATAATCTGCTGATAGAACAGCGAATTACTAAAGCCTTATTTAAGTCTTTTTTTCAGTTTTAATTTACCATTTTAATGAAATCCTTCAACTATAACCATATTTGACGGCATATAGACGCACTTTTTTTCCTAAATTTGGTTTCAAAAAGTTACCTGCATCTTATACATGAAGGGCACATGTTAACTTTCAATACTGAATATTATTTTTAGCCTGGATAAAGGTCTACACACACATAACTTTTTCTACATCTGCCATAATTATTTTGCGCATGCGTGAAATATCTGTCGCCAAAAAGCACCAAAGCTTGAAGCTGATGTCAAAGTTCGAACAGGTTTGACGGTCACATTACGTCTATGGAGCCTTTCCTTCTTTACATAAACTTTCTTTGACTCTGCCGACACACGTGTCGGTATTGGTGCTACTCTGTATAAACGTGTCAGTATCGGTGCTACTCTGTATAAACATGTCGGTATCGGTACTTAAACTTATTTGTTTTAAAAAAATACCCTGGAAAGTATGACTACAGGAAACAAGAGATTAAGCTATACAATTCAGTATAAACTAGGAGTGTTAAACTATGCCAAAGTGCATGGAAACAGAGCAGCAGCAAGGCATTTCGGTCCACCACCTACCGAAAAAATGATACGTACTTGGCGACTGCAGGAAGATCAACTGAAGACTGCTAAAAAACAAAAACATAGCCTTCGATGCCCAGCGCCATCTTGGCCTGAACTTGAATCAGTTTAGCGCCCATAGAACTGAAACCATAAAGAATAAAGCGAGGGAATTAAAAACCCAGATAACTGTCATTTCTGGTGGACTGACTAGCCAATTGCAGCCTTTAGATGTATCAGTGAATAAGCCATTTAAGGAAAAAGTGCGAGAACTTAGGAACAAGTGGATAGGAGAGCCACATCACGCCCTCTGGTAAAATGAAGCGGCCCTCTATTTCACAAGTGTGCGAGTGGGTAAAAAGATCTTGGGAGGACGTAATGGCTGAAGTAATTGTTAAGTCCTTTAAGAAGTGCGAAATCAGTAATGCTCTTGACGGAACAGAAGACGACGCATTATTTGAAGAAGGTGATACTAGCGATGACGGAAGTGATGACGATATTCTCGTTTTCGATGATGATGATAGTGAAAAAGATTTTTATGGTTTTGAAAGTGATTAAAGTCTAATTTCATGATAGGCAAAGTTTTCCTTGAATCTGTGTTTTTTTTTGTTGTTTCTGCTTTATTTTGTATTATGGTTGATTGCTTGCCGTTCATTCATTTATTCATTATTGAAATTTACATATCATGTTCAAAATAGCTTGCCGTTTGTTAATTTTCCTTAATAAAAATATGTTTGGTAATTACGTTCAGTGATTGTTTATTTGGCTTTTACGAAATGTGAGAACTAAAAGGAACCACATTTTAAGTTATTGTGGTACCGCACTGGCGCACGGACTATTGAAACTTTTTTCCCTTGTGTGTGGCCTTCTAAATAAGGGTGCACTTTATATGCCGTCAAATATGGTAATTCCCATTGGGAACTTTTCTATACATTGATGAAGTCAATTCATATGGTCACATTCATCAGTTCAGCAGCAGGAAGTTTATCTTTTTTTAAATTATGATCACTTAAATATACTCACACCTCATCAAGAGTTACCACAAATTTCCATTTATCAGCTGCTAGGTGTTTTTCATATAATTTTCAACAGTTTGTTTTTCTTTCTGCTATATGCTTTGGCAAAAGCAGATGAACTTTAGATATAAACATCACTTTTGACTTCAGGTCTTTATGAATAACTTAACTTGCAGCGGCAGAAGACATTCCCAGTCCCAATGCAATGGATTTTTGAGTCGGTGGATTTTCCTTCAGGATCAGAGACATAATTTATTTTATATTTACCTGCATTCAGACAGATTTAGATTCCAATTCAGGGGCCATTTTTAAACTGTTCAATTTTCCCTTTCAAATTTAATATATTAAAAATATCTTTCTTTGAATTGCAGTTAATTCGAATTTTACGCTGCTGTACAATTTGTTGATACAAATATTTGTCTTATAAAAGTGCATTTACATAACCTTCAAACCATCTACCAATTATATGAGCCATTTTCAAAATAAATTTGTTATTCAGCATTCCAATCAAAATAAAACAGTAGCAGACAATTATATTGAAAATGTCAAAGCTTTATCTCGAAATACTGAAGAGAAAATTTAAATAAAATGCAAGCATCCTACTGCATAATTATAAAGTCTTATTAAGGCATGTACAAAAGAAAAAATGTGTCTTCCTTTTTTTCTTCAATTGTTGACAATTGCATCTTTAGATAGTTTCTTTTCCAACATATTATTGCATACTATGGCCATTTTTACAAATTCTTTTGATAAAAAAACTGTGACATATTTTTTTCATCTATTGAAGATTGAAAATATTAAATATTTCAGAACCATATTAAATATTTCACAACAAAAAACTGTTATGTTTTAAAAGGGAAACTTTTCGCTTGCTAAAGAATTATAAACTGTGTGCACATGCACAGATCGGTAGCCATTTGTTTCTTGCCAAGGCTGCTATGAAAGGAAGGTACCTTTTGCATAAATATTATATGCATAAAGTATGAAATATTTTGCATTACATTTTAATGTGACTTTTTCCCTCTGCCTTAAGGTTCAACATGGGTAAGATTCTACAAGATATGGGTGATTATGTAACTTCCAGTGAATGTATTTCTACTGCAATTGAACTAGAAGCCACTTGTCCTATTTTACCATTTAGTAACATTCCACGGACATTTGAATAGGAACTTTTGAATTGTAACTAAATTGTGAATTTATGAGCTCTGTTAATTATTGTAGACTAACTTTAATATCTTCAACCTGTTAAAAGTGAAGATGTTGAAACAATTAATTTTCCTTTTAAAGTAGCAATTTAATTGCAGTTGCTGAGATATCTTTTCCCAGTGGGAAAATATGAATTTGATCTCAATATCTGTATAAATTGTAAGCTGTAACATTTTATATAGTTAAAGATTAATTGAAATGTAAATCATAATTTTTACTTAATTATATTATTAATTTGAAATGTAAGTTAACATTGGTAATGTTCAATATGTAAGAAATTATTATTTAAATATGTTGGTCATTCAATGGTTTTATATAATTTTAGTATGTATATTTAGTAATATTTTTACTGCATTCCTGATCTAGTGTGTGCATATATAAATGTCCTTTAAAATATAAGTATAGTATATTTATATAATGAGTACCTTTTTATGGGAATAGTGTACAAAACTTTTTCATGTTATGTCCAATATATATTTTTAAAGGCCAGAGTTCATTATTTAATTGAATACACAAATGCAGTTCAGGTTTTGAAAAATTTCAATTAAAAGTATGATCTCATCATTTTCCCCCTTGCATAAGTGTTTTTATTAAATATTTTATTCTTCTTCCTAAGAAAGAATCTTTATAAGAAATATTGCTCATCTTTGTATAGTGTATATTTACTGTAAACTGTTGCTGAAATCAATGGATTACCAAAATGTATTTGTGAAATCAAAGAGTAAGTGTTTTTTATTTTACTGTCATTTGTTGATGAGTAAAAAATACTATCACACTAGAATGTGTGAAAAAAATTGATAAAAATAAAGGTCCTATCCATAAAGAGCAAAAAATTTGGTCTCTTCTAAGCCATAAATTTATATTCCCCATAAAGTTAACTTGAGACTTCCATCCATGTAAAGTGTGATTCCGTTTAGATGTTTTGCAGTGGAATTGTGTTAAACAAAATTACTTAAGATTTGATGGAGCTTATTTTATTTTCTGAGATTATACTGATGTAAAAATTTAATGTTTTCCTTCATGTTAAGTATTTGTATAGATTTATGTGTATATAGAGAAATGTTGTTTAATAAATCAGATATTTTACTGTTTTGGAAAATTTTTCTTACACATTTTAAGTATTATCTTAATTTTAGTTATTTACATTCTGTAGAAAATGAGTATTAGTGAGTAACCGTATTATTCAGCATAATGAAGTGTATTCATCTTTTTTTTTTTTTTTTTTTTTTAAACAAAGAGGTCATTTCGAATCTTTTTTGTAAAGAGGATGTTTGAAAGCATATATATATAAACATAACGTTTGTCTGAGCTTTCTAATAATTAGTATTGTCAAGTAGCAGGCTTTCCTTAAATCCAAAAGCCAAAGCTCTGTAACTACCAAGCTCAGTTGTGTGATAGTCAAAGGAATAACCAAAAGAGGTAAATAATTTTTAAGTAGGAAATTTACAAAAGTTTCTTTAGTTCACTTACTTTTATGCATGCTGCTTGTTTTGCTTCTTGTTTTATTGCATGCTGCATAAAAAATTCATTGTGCAAGCAGTTGTTTAGTATAAATGTGTTTTTATACTAAACAATTGCTATACAAATAAATTTAACATATCAGCACTGGAAATTCTGTAATTGAAAAGCTCAAAAGGCGTGCAAGTTTTACCATTTATTGTTTTATGAAAGTACACTGATCATCAAAATTAAAGGATAAGAAAAAGTATGCTCACAATGTTGCAACCAGTGCCCATTGATGTAATTATTTATATTAATTAAATACAGTTGAACCCAAAATTTCACTTCCTTGTATGCATAAGTGCCAGAAATATGCAGATTCAGTATTTGACAATGTGGTGCACAAGAGACGCTTGTTGGAATTCCAGTCTGCATTGTTGTTTAAAGTGAATGTGGTTTTTGAGAGTGATCGGTATTCAGTATTTATTGGTTCAAAGGCATCATTTAAGTGAAGGCCAAAAGTGGTGAATAATTGGTTGAATCGAGGGATGTCAAACACAAATGGAGGTTGCCCAAGATTTGAATATCCTTCAAAGTGTAATATCAAGGCTTTGAAGCCCCTTTTTAGCACTGGATCAGTTGATAGACCAGCCTGATCAAGGATGACCAAGAGCAACAACTGCATCAGAAGACCATTTTCTGTCATTTTCAGCTCGAAGAAACCACGAAGCGACTACAAGAGATTTGGTTTTAGACCTTCAGGCTGCCACAGAAACATGAATTAGCCATTCTACCTAATGAGAGGTTAGGTTGTATGCAAGGTAAGCAATTGTTTGTGTCCCCACTCACTCCAACTTTTAGAGATGCCCATATAAATAAATTGGTGCCGTTGTCATGTCCAGTGGAGCCAAGATGGCTGGGCCCAAGTATTGTTTACTGATGAGTTTAGATGTAGTGAACAGTGGTTTTAGACAAGTTTTGATCTGGAGAGAGAAAAGAACACACAACTTATCTTCCCATACCTGTGAAATATCTCATTTCTGCAAACGTAGTTTTAGGGTTTGGGTAGGAACCTTGACAAATGGCCACACCAAGCTGCATACCTTTCAAGGAGATTCTGTTGTCACTTGAAGATATGTGGACAATGTATTGGAACTCCAATTTAGACTATTTAGGGGGTGCTGTTGACTCAGAGTTTTTGATAATGGGTGACAATGCACGGCCTCATCGAGCATATGTGGTGTCAGAATACTTGCAAACAGAAGATATCACTTGAATGTATTGTCAACCTTGCTCACCCAACTGGAACGCGTTTAAGCATGTGTGGGCTGCTTTGGGGGGCCAAATTCCTCCCTATACCCTCTAGTAGCTGAAAAGTGCACTTTTAGAAGAGTAGCATGCAGTTCTGCAAGACTTGATGTAAGTCTATGTAAAGTCTATGTAATCAGTGTCTATGTAAAGTCTATGTAATCAACGTCTATGTAAAGTCTATGTAATCAGGATTTGAGTTATGTATATTTGTTCAAGGTGACCGTACACCATGTTAAAGAAAAAATTTTCCACAAGAGGTGACTTAATTTTTCCATCATTTTTCAATTTACATAAATTTGGTTTTTATTTCAATATTTTGTGAATAATCAATAGTCAAACATTGTTATTAATGTTAAATAATGCATTTGTATAAGTTTCTATTAATAATTTTTCATTAAATATCAGATATATTTTATTTCTATCATTATCCTTTAGTTTTGGTGACTAGTTTACATATGTTTGCTGATTTTGCCCCTTAGCACAGAGAAATTTTAAGCTTACAAGTTGCAGACAACCTGCTAGTCTAAGAATTAAAGTTATTGATTATAAAACTATATATTTTAAAACCAACTGTAAAAAAATAACAGAGCAGAATGTTAAATGATAAAAATTGCTTTGTTTTATCACAAATTATTGTCATAAGGAGACTTATTTCTGTTTTTAATGCAGAAAAGAATTACTCAAAATATAGCTGTGCATTTATCTCTTTGGATCACATGCACCTGAATCTTTGAATAAATAGTTCTATCAAATGGCAGTTCTTTTACCCTGCGAGAATGACAAATCCACTTATTGAAAACAATTAACACTGGAGAAGAGGTGTTTAATGAAATAAAATTTTTGTCAATTGAATTATGAAATTATATTATACAAACATTAAAATTATGAAATTATAATATCCTATTGAAATGAAGTTGTCTTTGCAGAAACCTCACACCAAAATCTAAATAGATAAGGATCTCTTACAAGTTCCTCATAATTGGCGAAATTACTTTTTTAGCCCAAAGGGGCAATTTGTCCAGAAAGGCCATTAATTTCATTTTGCCATTTTCCGTAGGTTTAATAAGTGTTGGTTCCCTTTTCAAATTGTTGCTGCCAAATATTAGAGTTGTTGCCTGTATTATAATTGTTGCGTATATTATAATCATAAAAAATTCCAGGTATCATATTTCAATGAAAGTATCGATTTTGACTGCTATCGAATGCAATTTAATGGTGTTTTTGCATAACATCTGTACGTAAGGACAGAATAAAGTACTCTTTTTCCCAAAACGAATTATAAAACTGATTTAAAATGGATTCAGAAGACATTTTTTCGTGGCATCTGCGCATACGTACAATTGTATCTTGCATAACTCAAAAACGGGTAGCCTCATAACATCGAAATTTTGTATATATGACTGTTGAAACATGTAGTTGTGCACCATTTTGACTGCTATCGAATGCAATTTAACCAGAGCTAAATTTAGACTTGACAAGGCCCTAAGCTATATGAGATATGGGGCCCTTAATTATTCCAGACATATGTCAGTGCCAAATATGATTTTTGGGTACCTAGAGGGATATTTGAGGGGCCCTAAGCTATAGCTTGTGTAGCTAATACATAAATCCTGCACTGAATTTAATGATTTTTTTGTGTGACATTTATACGTAAGGACAGAGTAAAAGACTCTTTTCCCCCAAAAAATTATAAAACTGATTTTAAATGGATTCTGAAAACATTTTTTTATGCCGTTTGTGCGTACATACGTATGCATGTATCTATCTCACACAACTCAAAAACGAGTAATCTCAGAATGTTGAAATTTTGTATATAGGACTACTATAACATGTAGATGTGCACCTCCCATTTTGATTGCAATCAGCCGCAGCAAGACTATATAAATATATGCATTTATGTATCCATTCTGTTACTTGGCTCAGTAAACTTAGTTTCTTTATTCTTATATGTTTGCAAATTGTGCATTTTTTGCTTTAAAAATGATTGAATTACGTTGTTCTTATCTTGCAGTTAAGGTTTTTTTACGCCTTTAGTAAATCTACATACAAGATCAGTAAAATTATCAACAATTTAAAAGTTGTTGAGGTGCAGCTAAGCCTAATTATTTTTACCATAGCAGCCATATTTGCTTATATATTTGAAACTGAGCATAATAGTGGATTTGTTGCCAATCTAGAGAAACTAAGCTTCACATCAACAAAGATAACACCTTATTTTATTATTGCGAATTAAATCATGCTTTATCCATTCTCGAATGTATTCGAGGAAATAAGTATTTTAAATTTACTTTGTAATTTTTAATATAGATATTTTGAGTTTTTATGTATCTTTGTCTTGTCGCAAAATGAGAACTGAATTAATTGAATGAGGAATATTTGAGTTCTCTTTGAAAAACTGTTTTTTTGGGGGGCGGTTAGGGTGTTTTAATTTCTTTTGCTCATTGTTTTAGATTTATTATAGAATTTAAATAGAACATGTGGCAACGATTAGATTATTCTTCAGATGATATAATTTTTGTGCAATCTGAGTTATAAAATGAATGAGATGTAACACTGTTAAGTGAACCTAGCGCTATAGTGTTACTGTGGTAAAGAAATATAATGAATTTTAAAGAGTGCATTTATTCTGTTGTGGTTTATGCACTGTCAAAGAAGTAGATTTAATTCAATTCAATAAGTTTAAATGAAATGCAGGAAAACGTGCATAATTTTAATATTCTGTACAAGGAAGTCATGTGGTTTACACATCAGATTTTTTTTTAAAGAATATCATGGGAACTAGCCTGAATTTGAAATTTCAGAGACATGGCTAAGAGCATTATCAATAATTCACATAACTTTCAAATGTAAATTTTGAATTCAACAATTACACCCAGCTTGTGAAATAAAATTCTAAACCAATATTTGAACACACAAGCAGCTAACAAAGTGTGCAAAAATTCTTTTCAAGCTGGCCTAAACTTTTTTTCTTACCATGTGGAACAGATGATGTAATTGAGTATAGCCAGGCCATTATGATAAAGAAATTGAATCTTCTAAGTTAATCACCAGTGTTTAATGCCCATTCTTATGTATAAACTAGCACCCACTAAAATTGCTACATGATGTAAGTATTTGATTAACCTGACTTTGCAAGATACATGTTAGGATATGTAAATGATTATCAGTGCTATTCATGTGAATGTTATGGACAGTTATGCCTCGTTTTTTGTTTACGTAAAATGTCTAGTATTCCTCATGTAAAAAAGCTGGAATTCTTACCCAAAAGATCCCAATTTGATTACTGGAAAGCTTGTATACTGGAATTACACATTATCTTACTATCAAGTTACTACTCATGTTGAAAGA